CTCCCTTCCTTCCTACCTTTATTCATTGAGTCAGAGTCTCAGACAGTCCAAGCTGACAATGAATTTTCATGTAACTGAGGACCACCTTAAACTCCAAATCTCCTATCTCAACCTCCCTAGTGCTGGGATTCTAGTCAAGTGCCCAGCTTATAACTGCTGTTTATTGAGCCCCGAGGATGTACAGGGTAACAAGTACATTTCATGATTTTCTCATTTAATACTCATCAATACCTGGTGGAGTAGAAACTGTATTTTTTTTTTTTTTGGTCTTTTTGGGCCAGGGTCTCCCTGTACCTCCAGCTCCTGAAACTCACTCTGTGGACCAGGCTGGCCTTGAACTCACAGAGGATCCACCTGCCTCTGCCTCCCGAGTGCTGGGATTAAAGGCGTGCACCACCATGCCTGGCAGAAACTGTTTTTTGTTGTTGTTGTTGTTTTTGGTCTTTTTGAGACAGAGTCTGCCTGTAGCCCCAGCTGGCCTGGAACTTGATATGTAGATCAGGCTGGCCTTGAACTCACAGACAGAGATTCACCTGCCTCTTCCTCCTCAATGCAGAGACTAAAGGCACAGGCCACCACACCCAGCAAAACTGGATTTTTAAAAAAATCCCTGTTTGTCAAATCAAGCTGAAGCTCTGTCCTAGACCAGTAGTTTTCAGAGTGGGTCTCTGTGCAGGCACAGCTTCACCAGGAAATCTGTCTGCAGTGTAAAAGCAGAGCTGTGGTATACCTCAGTAGGACAGCATGTGCTGTGTTTGATCCTCAGGACCACAAAGTTTTTTAAAAAATTAATAACCAGAGTAGCCAGTGAGATAGCTCAGTGAGTGATGATACCTGCCACCAAGCCTCACAATCTGACTTCAATCCCCAGGACCCATGTGGTAGGAGAGAACCGACTCCCACAAGTTGCCCTCTGATCTCCTCATACAAACTCACACATGCACACATAAGCATGCAAAATAAATAAAATGTGAATTTTATTCGTCAAGAATTGGCAAGATGGCTCGTCAGGTAAGGAGCTTGCCACCAAACCTGAAGACCTGAGTTCAATCCCCAGAGCCCACATGGTGGAGGGAGCGAGCCCACTCCTGAGGATTGTCCTTTGACCTCCACACTTGTGCTGTGGCATGTGTACACCCACACCCATACACACCCATGTATATGAACACACATGGAATAAATGAATACATGTAAAAATATTTATTCATTTTGAGATAGAGTTTTTTTTTTTATGTAGCCCTAGCTGGCCTGGAACACACCTGGACTTATTTATTTTGTACTTTTATTTGTGTGTGTGTGTGTGTGTGTGTGTGTGTGTGTGTCTGTCTGTCTGTCTGTCGTTCTGTCTGTCAGTGTCTGTGTAAATCCAGCTTAGGCTATTTAGCAAGATCTCAAAAAAAAAAAAAACCCAACCCCTCCCCCACCTCATTAAGATATAATACAAGTCAGACATGGTGCTGCTAATCTGTAATCCTAGCATTTGAGAGGTAGAGGCAGGAGGACTAGGAGTTCAAGTTCATCCTCAGCAACATAGCAAATTGCAGGTCAGCCGGGGCTTTATGAGACCCTGTCTCAAAACAAGCAAAAAATAGACAAAAAGATGTAAACTCATAATGCCATTCAAGTTACATACTCACTCAACCATATGATTCAATTCAATGATTCAATTTGCAGCCATAATCAAAACAGATCATGACTAGCTGGGCAGAGTGGAGCCTTAGCATCACTCTCCCTTCTCTTCCCACCCTCCACTCCCAGCCTGGTTAGGTTTTGTCAACTTGACACAAATTAGAGTCACCTGGGAAGACCTAACACCCCCCCCTCAGTTGAAGAATAATTTGCATCAGATTGGCCTGTGGCCACACCTGAGGTATTTTCTTATTTGTTAATTGATGTAGGAGGGCCCAGCCCACTGTGGTCAGTGCCATCCCTGGGGTGGTGGGCCTAGGCTGTGTAAAGGTAGCTGAGCAAGCCAGAGGACTAAGCCAGTAAGCAGCATTCCTCGGTGGCCTCTGCTTCAGTTCCTGCCTCCAGGTTTGTGTCTTGAGTTCCTGCCCTGACTTCCCTCAATGATGGACTGTGACATGGAAATTTAAGCTAAATAAACCCTTTATTTTCCTAAGTTGCTTTTGGTCAGAGTGCTTTATCACAGAAACAGAAAGCAAACTAGAACACAGCCCTAATTAGCCATTCATATATTGCCTGACTTCATAGGTTGGTCTATTCTGGACATTTCATATACATAGAATCATCTTTTATGATTGGCTTCTTAACTTTGTTTTCCAGGTTCATTCACATCTTAACATGTGGCTTTTTTCACAGAGAAACAGTACCCTATTTTTGATAAATGCTGCATTTTTATCCATTCAATAATTAAAGAACACTTGTGTTGTTTCTACCTTTTGACTACTAGAAATAATATCATGAGTATTTATGGGTAGATTTCAGTGTAGACATATGGAAATATGTTTTTTCTTTTTTTTTTAAATTTATTTTATGAATGAGTATTTTGCCTGCATGTAAGTGCACCACGTGCATGCAATGCCCATGGAGACTAGAAGAGGGCATAGATCCTCTGGAACTGGAGCTACACAGAGTTGTTGGCTGCCATATGGGTGCTGGGAATCAAACCCAGGACCTTTAGAAGAGCTGCCAGTACACTTAATCTCTGAACCATCTCTCCAGTACCTGTGTTTCTTTTTCCTAGGTGTGGTTTGCAATACTAAAGTGTAGATGTTATACTCCTTTTATTTGCTTTTTTATTTGGTCTTTTTAAGACAGGGTCTCCCTATAGCACCAGCTGGTTTGGCACTCGCTATGTAGACCAGGCTAGCCTCAATCTCACAGAGATACGCCTGTCTCTGCCTCCCTAGTCCTGGGACTAAAGGCATGTGCCACCATACACAGCTTATTTATTTTTTTGAGATGGGGTCTCACTCTATAGCCAAGGCTGGAGATGATCATCCTGCCTCAGTCTCCTGAGTCCTGTACTCCACCTGGTTCTCTCTTTTCAGACAGGGTCACAACTCTCGTCCAGGTTGGTTTGCAACTCTGTAGTCCAAACCAACTTACAGCAGTCCTCCTGCCTCAGCCTCCTAAGTGCTGGGATTATAGGCATGAGCTACCACTCTTGGTAAGATTTTATTTTCCTATTACATGTTTCAGCTTGCCTTAGTCTCTGTTATTATTAATATTATATATTAATATTAACTATAATTTCAATAATACCAATAATCACTTCTATCTATTGGGTTGCAAAGCTTTTACTTTGGTGCTTTTTTTTTTTTTTGTCTTTTTGAGACTGGGTCTCCCTATAGCTCCAGCTGGCCTGGAACTCACTATGTAGACCAGGCTGGCCTCCAGCTCACAAAGATCCGCCTGCTTCTACCTCCCAAGTGCTGGGATTAAAGGTGTGAGCAACTATACCTGGCTCAAACAGGAGCATTAGTCCCTTATACAGATGAGAAAATCTGTGGTTCACAGCAGTAAGGCAACTCATGTGAGCTCTAACAGCCAGTGTGGGGTAGAGCTGAGACCATAACCCACATCTGTTGCTTTCTGTGCCCTCTTACCTAGTATCATGTCCTGGGCTGTGCCTTCTTCCAGAGCTTTCGAAACATGCCTTCTTCCCCCACTTTCCTGCCTTTCTGGAAGTCAGTCAGGCTTGAACTCCCTGAGGGAGAGTCGGAACTCACTCCCTATGATCTTTTCCCCAGCTGGGGCTGAAGGCCAGGGGAGTGGCTTCCAGGGAGAGGGAAATAAAATAGAGAGATGCCTGTACTGTGCCCAGCCATGCAATATTGCCAGGAGGCTAGGAGCCTGTGAGGGGGAGGTGAGGAGCTGGAGTGTTTTACTCCAAGAGAGCAGGTGTGATGGGGCTTAGTGGAGCTTTGTTGGGGATGAGGACTAAGGAACAAGGCTGAAGCAAATGTGCTTGGGTAGTGCTGAGTTGCCGGGCGGGTGTTGGGGGAGCCTCTGGCTTTGCAGGGGTTAACCTGTGGAGACCCCTGAATTGTGAGGTTGTAAGAAGAGTGATTTTACCTGAATGGGGAGGAAGCCCATTCCTTGTGACTAGCTCTCACTGTACTAAGGGCTGAGAATAGGGACAGTTGGGCCTGAGGAACTAGAGCAGAATGGACAGAGAGGCCCATGGGCTAGGAAAGGCAGGATGGAGGGGTCAAAAGCAGGGAAACTGGTCCTTCTGGGCTGCATGTGTTGAGCTCTGAGTCTGAGATGAGCTCCATAGAAACGCAGGAGGAAAAATGTTGGCTGGTGAGCCCAGGGCTGCCTGCCTACATCTGTGTTGCTCAGTATGGGTCCAGAGTTGAAAGCCACAGTGTTGGTTTAAATTAGTTAAATCTTAATAATTAGAGATTCAGTTCCCTGGTCATGTTAGTCTCAGAGCCAAGGGCTCAGTAGTGGCATGTGGGATTAGAGAACATAAACCTAGGGAGGCTTTAACATCACAGAAAGTTCTGTTGGCCAAGCCAGCACTTAGCCTCAGGAAGGCTCAGTTGCTCAACAGCCCATGGCAGGGAGCAGGTTCCCTGGATTGGCTGCCTGTGGAGTCTCTGCACTATAGGTGACCTTCAGGTCTCTACTAGTATGGGGTGGTATGACTCACCTCCTGCCAGCATAAAGTAGACTCTGACACCAGGGACAGGAACAAACCAAGCAGGGCCTCTTCAGCCTGATTTGGGATCTCCTGCTCAGTGTGACTAGAGCTAGGCTCAGAGAAACATGGAGTGAGTGACACTGGGGTTCGGGAGCAGCTGCTGAGCGGGGAAGAGCCCAAACATTGGTGGGAGTATGAGGCTCTGGCTCAGCGGTAGCTGGCTTTGGGCAGAAGAGCTTGGGGGAGGTTGGGCGAGGGGGGTGAGAGGCTAGGGCAGGGGCTTGCTGAGTGGAGATTGGGACACACTGGGTCATAAGATGAAAGAAAGGAACACCCTCCCTTCCCACCTAACCAGATAAGTCTCTGTCTCTGTTCCAGGTCCAACACAATCCAGTTGACAAGGATGGACTATGCCATGAAGTCTCTTAGCCTTCTGTACCCCAAGTCCAGGTAAGGAGAGCCAAGGGCAGAAGGAAAGTAGAGTGCCCAAAAGGTCATCCCTTAGACCGTCTTGAACTTCAATGGGTATAAAAGTCATGTGGGCATCCTGTTAAAACACAGATCTGATGTGGGGGTCTGGAGTGGCACCTGAGATTTTTGTAGTCTGACAAGTCCCCATCTGATGTTCTTGATATGCCCTCCACAGCTACCATCTTGCCTGGAGTAGAAAGGGCCAGAGTCTGTGCTGGGCAACTGCTCTGGGAAGTGGAGGCTATTATCCAGCACAGTAGATGAGGAAACTGAGTCACAGGGTGGGTGACTCATCTTTAGCAGAGCCAAACTTTGAACTCAAGCCTGTCTGAATTCCAGACACAAGTTCTCTCCACTCCTTCCTCTGATTCTACTACTCAGAGTCAAAAAATGCTGTACATTGATCTCAGGCTTTCCCCACTTCACCCCACTTTACAAGTGAGGTGAGCAAGGCCACAAGAGGAAAGTGGTCACAGGGGAACGTGGGCTGAGCCTCATCGCCTTGCACCCCTCAGGGTCCAAGAACCAGCAATACCAGCATGGTTGCGAACTTGGTAGACATTCAGACCCTCAGGCTCTGGAGTCTGTATTTGAACAGGATCCCAGTTAACTTTCCTACTCATCCAAATTTGAGATGCATCTTCTGAAGGCTTTGAGAAAACCATTCAGAGCAGGTATGGTGGGTAGAAAGGAAGGGTCCTAAATGAGCTCAGCTTGCAGAGGTGGGCAGACCTGGCAGCAGCAGGCAGCTCATCCTTATGTTCCAAACTGCACCCTGCACCCCCAGGCATGTGGCAGTGAGCACAGCAGTGGTGACCCAGCAGCTGCTGTCCAAGCCCAAACACAAGGCCCACAGGGCCCGGCCCTGCCGAGTCAGCACTGCAGATCGGAAGGTGCGCAAAGGCATCATGGCACACAGCCTGGAGGACCTCCTCCACAAGGTGAGCGACCTGCCTAAACTCTGTGCAGCCCACTCTTGGGACCTTGACTAAGATATAACCCTGCCAGTCGCTGCCTCTGTCTTCCAGGTCTCCAAGTGGGATTCTGAGTGTGTGTGTGTGTGTGTGTGTGTGTGTGTGTGTGTGACAGAGACAGAGAGACAGAGACAGAGAAACAGAGACAGAGAGAGAGACAGAGAGACAGAGACAGAGAGACAGCAAGACAGAGACAGAGAGACAGCAAGACAGAGAGAGATGATATTAAGGGTGAAAGTTTACTTTCTGGTGTTAGCACTGACAGCATTGCTTGCCTGGAGAGCTGTGTAAATGAAGAGTAACATTTGTCCAGTGACAGGGACATTGCCGTCCTACACACTAACAGTAGGTGAGTGGTATCTTCAGAGCATATTTTTATTGCTGAAAAGACCTTCAGGCTCTCTTTTCCGGTAATTCTTAAACTTGCAAAAGTGAGCCAGGTGTGATGACACATGCCTGGGATTCTAGTACTTTTGGGGCTGAGGTAGGAGGATCTTAAGTTTGAGATATACAGGGCAACATAAATGAATTCCAGGGCGTCCTGGGCTATACAGAGTAAATTTGTCTCAAAAATACTAAAATGTAGGTTGGGCAGAGTAGTGAGTGCATGGAGGCAGAATCAAGAGGCTTACAAGGTTTTTGGTCAACCTGGTCTACATAGTGAGTTCCAGTCTAGACAGGGTCACATAGCAGGACCCCGTCTCAAAAAAATAAAAAAGGCATATGAGTGTACTGGTGTTGTGGCTCAACAGGTAAAGGCACTTTCTGCCAAGCCTGATGACCTGAGTTCTATTCCTGTGACCCGTATGGTGGAAGATAAGAACTGACTTCAGCAAGTTACCTTCTGAACTCTACATGCATTGTACATGCACATGCACATACAAGAAATTAAAATGTAGTAAAAAATAAACAGGTCAGGCATGGTGGCACACACCTTGAATTCCAACATTTGGGAGGCAGAGATGGAGGCTGGCCTGTTCTACATAAGGAATTCCAGACCAGTTGTGGCTACATAGAGACACTGTCTCAAAAAAACCAAAAGAATAATAATAGTAATGATAAAATAAACAAAAACAAAACTAAACAAAAACAGTCTTCCAGAAGTGCCAGGAAGTGGGGAAATGAATAGGATTTGAGAGCTTTCATTGTCTCCTACCTGCACCAGCACAGTGCTCCTTACATCTGTCTCCCTTGGTGGCCCTTCTGGGAAAGGCTTTGTTCAAATGATTAGTACACTTCCTTTTTTTTTTTTTTTTCTTGGTCTTTTTGAGGCAGGGTCTGCCTGTAGCCCCAGCTGGCCTGGAACTCACTATGTAGACCAGGCTTAGTCTTGAACTCACAGAGACTTGCCTGCCTCTGCCTCCTGAGTGCTGGGACTAAAGGTGTTCACCACCATACCTGGCTGATTAGCACACTCATTGGTGGAAATTGAGGGCAGCCAGCCTTGTACTACAGCAAGCAAGAGATGTACATGGTCCACCATCCCCATCCTTCCTGTCCCTCTGCCCCTCCTATGGCCTCTTCTAATTTTGCTTGTATTTGTCACTTGGTCCCAGGTCTCACTGGCCCATTAGTGTCCGCTCCATGGGACTGGGACCCCCTCACCTGCAGGTACATAGGTCAAATTTTGAATTAGGTTTCCAGTTGCTAGAGTCTATCTAACATATAGAAAATATAGTGGACCTAACTTTCAATATGTGGCTTCTATTGCATTCCTGTGACTTAGGTCTGCTCTTCCTAAAATCAGATTTGCTCTGTCCTGTGAGGCCAGACGCTTGAGTCTGCCTAGAACTAAAAGGACTGGTTCTCTCTGCTCTGAGCTCTGGGGACCACCTCTGGTGTCAGAATGGCTTGTAACAGTTTATGTCTCCCACCCGAATCCCAGAGTCAGGGTTATGATCAAGGCCAGGAATTTTCCTTTTTAGTGGGAATTTTCCTGGAGTCTGGGAATCCCCTAGATAGGGTTCTGTTGCCAAGGGACTCAGGGAGCAACAGTGAGCATCCATGTCTGCCATACTAGACAGGAGGGAATCTCATTGTCAGGTCAGGGAGGAGTCAGCCCTGTGGACTACAGTTCTAAGTTTGGCAACACAAAGATCAGAGCCAAGAGTGAAGGGGAGACATGTGCATGACAGACAACAGTGTCATTTCAAAATTAACAGGAAGCCTCTGGAGGATATTAAATTTTATTTATTTAAAAATTTTATCGCTGGGCATGGCAGCACACACCTTTAATCCCTGCACTCTGGAGGCAGAGGCAGGTGGATCTCTGTGAGTTCAAGGCCAGCCTGGTCTACATAGTGAATTCCAGGACAGCTGGGGTTAGAGGGAGACCCTGTCTCAAAAAGACCAAAAAAAAAAAATTATCATATATTTATCACGTGGCAGCTGGGGTTAGAGGGAGACCCTGTCTCAAAAAGACCAAAAAAAAAAAAATTATCATATATTTATCACGTGTGTGTGTGTGTGTGTGTGTGTATGTGTGTGTCTGTGTCTGTGTCTATGTCTGTGTTTGTATGTATGCAGAAGTATATGCCACAGTGCACATGTGGATGTCAGAGGGCAGCTTCCAGTAGTTGGCTTTCTCCCTCCCCAACATGGGTCCTGGGGATCAAATTCAGATAATCAAGCTTTACCTGCTGAGCCATCTTGCTGGACCTTAAATTTTATTTATTTAGTTAGGATGTTTTTTGTTCTTGTTTTTTGATTGTTTTGAGGCAAGATCTCATTCAGTAGCTCAGGCTATCATGGAACTCACTATGTAGCCCAGGCTAGCCTGGAGCTTCTGGGAATCCTCCTGCCTGAGACCCCCAAATACTGGAATTACAGATGTGAATTACCACTTGTACCTGGAAGACTTTTTTTTTCATAGAGGGCTTGTTTTTTTGTTTGAGACAGTGTGTTCTATAGCTCAGGCTGGTCTGAAACTCACTATCTAGCTCAGGCTGACCTTGAATGATCTCCTGCCTCTACTTCCTGAGTGCTAGGATTACAGGCATAAGCCAGCATGCCCAGTTTATGTGGTTCTGGGGATGGAACCCAGAACTTTGCGCATGTTGGGCAGGTACTCTTCAATTGCGCTACAGCCACAGCTGTGGAGGATTTTTTTTTTAGTCATACGAAAATGACTGGTGAGACGGTCCTTGCCTCCAAGCCTGACTACCTAAGTTGAGTCCCCAAAACCTACATGGTAGAAGGGAAAAACAGCTTGTCCTCTGATCATCACAGACACACACACACACACACTTTCACACAATGCATAACAATGATTTTAAAATAAATAACACAAAACAATGTAAACTAACAACTTGCAAAAACTGTGGAGTTTGGAGTCTTTTTGGAATCTTTGGAAAATAAGTGGCCAATCTGTTACCTATGATTCTTGGATATGTTGGTGTCTAGTCTCTACACGTGAGGATGTTCTCCTATATAACCATTATTCAGCCATTAAAATCAGTAAACATAATGTTACAATACCAAGATTTCATCTCGAGACTCCACTGGCACACTGCTAATTGTTCCAAAAAATATTATTTGTAATAAAAGGATCCAGAAGAGGATACAGTGTGACTTGAACTGTCTTATATATATATGTTTTTTGAGATACTAGAGCCCTGTGTAGCCTCAAGTTTACTATAAAGACCAGGCTAGTCTTCAATTCAAAGAGATCCACCTGCCTCTGCCTCCCAGGTGCTGGGATTACAGGTATGCACCACTATGCCTGGCCTTATTTATACTTTTCAACTATTATGTGTGTATGTTGTGTGTGTGTGTGTGTGTGTGTGTGTGTGTGTGTGTGTGTACTGATGTGTGCATGCCACAGCATGCATGTGGAAGTCAGAGAGCAGGTTTCAGAAGTCAGTTCTCTCTTGCCATGGTAGGTTCTAGGGACTGAACTCAAGTTTACTATTTTTTGTAGTAAAGTTTGTACTTTAAGCACTTGTACTATAAACACTTTTATCCTCTGAGCCAAGCCATCACACCAGCCCTGCCTGGACAATTTAAAAAATGATAAGCCAGTTATTTTATTTACTGTCCCTCAGTTTTAGTTACCTGTTTCCTTAATTCACTCTTGTATGTCGTTGGCAGAAACGTGATTCAAAATAAGTTATCACCTGGGGATGTAGGTAAGGGAGATATTTTGCCTAGCATGCATGAGATCCTTGTTTCAACCCCTGGCACCATAAACCAAACGAATGAGCAAAGCTGTCCTTGCTAATTCTATATAATTTCTGTACATTTGATTATTTGAATAAGGTGATAGTTGAGCTTTGGTAGGGTAATGTTACAATTTTTCATTTCTTGTTATGCTAGTTAACTATTTTCCTTTTTTGTTTTTTGTTGTTTTGGTTTGGTTTTTTGGTGTTTTGAGACAAGGTCTCCCTGTAGCCCCAGCTGGCCTGGAACTTGCCATGTAGACCAGGCTGGCCTCCATCTTTCAGAGATCTACCTGCCTCTGCCTCCTGAGTGCCGGGATTAAAGGTGTGAACCACCACAGTTTATTTTCTTTTTGAAATTATTGCATTTTATTTTTTATTTTGTGGCTGGGAGATGAACATGCCTTGGCACATGAGTGGCGGTCAGAGGACAAGTTGTGGGAGTTGGTTCTCTCTTTCCACCTTGTTGGACCTGGGGATTGAACTCAAGTCATTAGACTTGGTAGCAGATGCCTTTACCCATTGAGCATCCCATTGGCCCATTTTTTTAAATAAAATAATTTTTGTTTTTTTTAATTCACTCTTGTATGTCGTTGGCAGAAACGTGATTCAAAATAAGTTATCACCTGGGGATGTAGGTAAGGGAGATATTTTGCCTAGCATGCATGAGATCCTTGTTTCAACCCCTGGCACCATAAACCAAACGAATGAGCAAAGCTGTCCTTGCTAATTCTATATAATTTCTGTACATTTGATTATTTGAATAAGGTGATAGTTGAGCTTTGGTAGGGTAATGTTACAATTTTTCATTTCTTGTTATGCTAGTTAACTATTTTCCTTTTTTGTTTTTTGTTGTTTTGGTTTGGTTTTTTGGTGTTTTGAGACAAGGTCTCCCTGTAGCCCCAGCTGGCCTGGAACTTGCCATGTAGACCAGGCTGGCCTCCATCTTTCAGAGATCTACCTGCCTCTGCCTCCTGAGTGCCGGGATTAAAGGTGTGAACCACCACAGTTTATTTTCTTTTTGAAATTATTGCATTTTATTTTTTATTTTGTGGCTGGGAGATGAACATGCCTTGGCACATGAGTGGCGGTCAGAGGACAAGTTGTGGGAGTTGGTTCTCTCTTTCCACCTTGTTGGACCTGGGGATTGAACTCAAGTCATTAGACTTGGTAGCAGATGCCTTTACCCATTGAGCATCCCATTGGCCCATTTTTTTAAATAAAATAATTTTTTTTGTTTTTTTTTTCTAGTGTTTATTATTTTCTAAGGCAGTACTCTACACTAAACAAACATATAATTCTGCATCAAACTTTCAATTTTCTCAATTATTTATGTAAAAGAGATTCAGATGTTACTATTTTAATGCGACATAGTGAAAGTAAAGATTGTATATTGGTGTTCAAATTGCCCCAGATTTGGTCAGAGAGACATTCAACAACACAACATTGGATACTTTTTTCTTTTTTTTTTTCTTTTTAGACAGGGTCATGCTATGTAACCTGTGGCTAACATAAAACCTTCTATGTGGACCAGGCTAACCTTGAACGTGCTTCAGTCCTCCTGCCTCTGCCTCTTGAGTGCTGAGATTATAACCACACCTGACTGAATTGTATTTTTTTCAGGCAGGGTCTCACTATGTAGCTCTGGCTGGCCTAGAACTTGATTTGTAGACCATATAGTCTGGAACTCAAAGATCCATCTGTCTCTGCCTCCCGAGTGCTGTGAGTAAACACTACATCCAGCTCTAACTGTAGTCTTTAAAATAATGACAATGCCAGGCGTGGTGGCACACGCCTTTAATCCCAGCAGAGGCAGGCGGATCTCTGTGAGTTCAAGGCCAGCCTGGTCTACACAGTGAGTTCCAGGACAGCTGGGGCTACAGGGAGACCCTGTCTCAAAAAGGCCAAAAAAAAAAAAAAATGACGTTTAGGGGCTGGAGAGATGGCTCAGCGGTTAGGAACACTGACTGTTCTTACAGAACTCCTGGGTTCGAATCCCAGTATCCACATGGCGGCAAATAACTGTCTGTAACTCCTGTTCCAGGGGATCTGACAGACTCTTTTGTCCTCTGTGGGCACTGCATGACACGGGTGCACATACCTACATGCAGGCATAACATTCATACACATAAAATAAAAAAAAATAGTAAATAAAACATTAAAATAAAATAAAATAAAATAATGACATTTAACTCAGCCTGGAGTATGGGCCTGCTATCTAAATTGCTTGGGATACTGTGCCTGTGCCACAGAGTGACTTCGAGGTCAGCCTACCCTGTCTTCAAATAAAAAGTGAAAGGAGGGCTGGTGTATAGTTCAGTGGTACAGTGCTGTGTAGCATGTGTGAGAGCGTAGGCTCAGCTCCCAGTACTGAAAAAAAAAAAAAGAAAACCTTATGGCATGTGAATTATATCTCAAATAAAAACTACACATATGAGCCAGAAATGACTCAGTGAGTAAAGGCGCTTGCATCTAAGGTTGACACCTTGAGTTCACTCACCTAGATCCACATGGTAGAAAGAGAGAACTAATTCCTTCAAGTCATCCTCTGACACCACACACTCATGTGCACACACACACACACACACACACACACACACACACACACACACGAACACATGCATGGGCTGGAGATGGTGGCGCATGTGTTTAGTTCCAGCCCTTGGGAGGCAGAGGCAGGCAGATCTCTGCAAGTTCAAGGTCAGCCAGATCTACATAGTGAGTTCCAGGCCAGCTGGGGCTACAGAGAGACCCTGTCTCAAAAGGACAAAAAAACAAAACAAAACACACACACACACGCATGTACTCACACACAAATAAATGCAATAAATTTTTTTACCAAAATAGGACAGAAATTTATTTCAGATGTAACAGCAATATTAAAATTGACAAGTTTAATTCTAAATCCAACAAGTAAATTTAGCCATTTAAGTATTTATTTACTTATTATTATTTTATTATTATTATTATTTTTTGTCTTTTTGAGATAGGGTTTCCTTGTAGCCCCAGCTGGCCTGGAACTTGCTATGTAAACCAGGCTGGCCTCAAACTTACAAAGACCCACCTGCCTCTGCCTCCCCAGTGCTGGGATTAAAGGCGTGCGCCACCCCTAGTTCATTTAAGTACTTTTAAAATTACTCCCTCCAAACACTGAGGGAGTTTTTCTTTCCCACCACACACCACGATTTCCCAATAGTTCTCTTTTCGGAGGACTTTTAATTAATGAGTAAACTGCTTTGGAGATACCTAGAAACTCTTCACCAAATGAAACTTAGTCTTAACAAATTATATATTGCATAGATTTCTCTATGGATTTTTCTTTAGAACTTAAATGTAAATAGCATACAGAATAATTTTCACCTATTTACCTCAGGTTAAAAACTATCTGTCCTGAAAAATATGGATATAGCCTGTTATCTTCCAGTTAATATACTATTTTACCTCAAAGATTATTTGATCATTTATTAAAAAAAAAAAAAAACTCAACATGGGACATTACTTTAGTCCTTACTGATTCACAGGCAAATGGACTAGAGCCCAGTTTCTACCTCTTCCACATTTTTTCCTTATGTAAGTGGATGGAATTATTTGATTCAAGTTTGCTACAGGGCAGTTGACCCTTTGCACACTTAAAATTTAGGTTAAACCACTGACTAGTGTGGAAAAAAACTGTAACAATAGGGAGCCTATACAGTCAATTCAAATTTTGTAATTTTTTTCACATACACAAACAATGCAATAAAAAAATTAAAGCTATATATGTGGGGCTGGCGGGATGGTCTAGTGGTTAAGAGCACTGACTGCTCTTGCAGAGGACCTGGCTTCAATTCCCAACACCAAGATTATGGCTAATAACTGTCTGTAGTTCCATTTCCAGGGGAATCTGATGCCCTCTTCTGACCTCCTCCAGCATTGCACAACACGGGTGCACTTACATATATGCTGGGAATACACTTATACATATAATATAAAATTAATAACTGCCAGTAGTGGTGGCACATGCTAGTAGGATATGCTGAAGAGGCAGAGGCAGGAGGATCTGGGGTTTGAAGCCAGCTTGGGCTACACATTTACAGCCGGGCATGGTGCAGCATGCCTTCCAATCTCAGCACTTGGGAGGCAGAGGCAGGCGGATCTCTGTGAGTTGGAGGCCAGCCTGGGCTACATAGCAAGTTCCAGGCCAGCTGGGGCTACAGGAAGACCCTGTCTCAAAAAGACCAAAACAAAAAAACAAACCAATTTTTTAAAAAATCTACACATGATTCCCATTATATATTTTAATATAATGTTTTTATTAATTCTTTAAGAATTTCATACATGCACATGATGTACTTTGGTCGTATTTATTCTGTGCTCCTCCCTGTACCTCCTCTCATGGGCCCTCTTCTCCCAACTTCATGCCCTCTTTGCATTTTTAATTTTTGTTTTGTTTTGTTTTTTTGTTTTTTTGGTCTTTTTGAGACAGGGTATCCCTATAGCGCCATCTGGCCTGGAACTCACTATTAGACCAGGCTGGCCTTGAACTCACAGAGATTCACCTGCCTCTGCCTCCCAAGTGCTAGAATTAAAGGTGTGCACCACCACGCCCAGCTTGCATTTTTAATTTTTTAAAATCCACAAAGTCAGGCCAGGTCACACCTTTAATCTTAGCATAAAGGAGGCAGAAAGCAGGTAGATTTCTGTGAGATGGAGGGCAGCCTGGTCTACATAGTGAGTTCCAGGCCATCTGGGGCTACACAGAGACCCAGTCTCAAAACAAAGAAACAGGGCTTGGTGTGATGGCGTACACCTTTAATCCCAGCACTTGGGAGGCAGAGGCAAGCCGATCTCTGTGAGTTCAAGGCCAGCCTGGTCTATATAGTGAGTTCCAGGACAGCTGGGGCTACAGGGAGACCCTGTCTCAAAAAGACTCCCCCCCAAAAAAACCCCCCAAAAACCCAAAGAAACAAACCCAAAGGCCACCAAGTCCAATTTGTGCCCACATACTCAGGCATGGGGTCATCTCATGGAGCACGGGAACCCCACAGTAGAGGGCCTGTCTCCCAGTGGGCTTGCGGGGATTGCAGCTCTTTGGCAGCTGAGGTTCTGCAGAGTAGGACTTCCCCACTCAGCTCTGTGGCCCTATGGGGATGCCAGATATGTCACCAACCCTCTTCCCCAGGCCCAGGACATCTTGAAGCTGAAAGACAAGCCCTTCTCCCTGGTGCTGGAGGAAGACGGCACGATCGTAGAGACGGAAGAATACTTCCAAGCCCTCGCCAAGGACACAGTGTTCATGGTCCTGCAGAAAGGGCAGAAATGGCAGCCTGCCTCAGAACAGGTGAGGGCCTCCCGGTGCGGGCAAAGCCTGGGGGAAGTCGGATGGACGGACTAACCAGTGCTGGCCTTGCAGAGGGGAAAGAAGTGCCAGCTCGCCTTTTCCCAGAAGCCCACCAAGAAGATCGATGTGGCTCGTGTAACTTTTGACCTGTACAAGCTGAATCCACAGGACTTCATCGGCTGCCTGAACGTGAAGGCGACGCTCTATGACACGTACTCCCTTTCCTACGACTTGCACTGCTACAGGGCCAAGCGCATAGTGAAGTGAGTAGACTGGACTGCTGGGGCCAGGGTTGGGGGGAAGCACAGGCAGAGCCCTCCCAGGGCCTGAGTTATCTAAGAGCCACTTATCTAAGTGGTTTGAATGGCACTAGGGTGTGCCACAGGTGCACATGCTCCTAGTGGAACCAGGCCTATGGGTAAGGTTTTAATTTTATTTATTTTTATTTCTATTTATTTTCATTTTATATACTCAGTTGTTTTGCCTACATGTTTGTAAGTGCACTCGTGTGGAAGCATGCAATGCCCATGGGGGCCAGAAGAGTGTGTTGGATCCCCTGGAACTGGAGTTACAGACAGTTGTGAGCTTCCATGTGGGTGCTGGGAAATGAACCTGGGTCCTCTGCAAGAGCAGCCAGTGCTCTTAACTGCTGAGCCATCTCTCCAGCCCCCCATAGCAGACTTCTAATGAACCTTATTTTGTGTGATTGGAATAGAACCCAGGGGCTCACAGGTGCTAAGTACACACTCTAACACTGAGCTACTGCCCTTTCTAAATTTTTTTGGGGGGTGGTTGTTTGCTTGTTTGTTTTATTTTTGAGAGAGGGTCTCCCAGTAACCACAGCTGGCTATACTTGAACTCACAGAGATCTGCCTGCCTCTGCCTTGGCTTCCCGAGTGCTGAGATCAAAGGCATGCACCACCACTTCCAACTTTTAATCATTTTTTTAAAAATATTTTATGCCCGGCGTGGTGGCACATGCCTTTAGTCCCAGCACTCAGGAGGCAAAGGCAGGCAGATCTCTGTGAGTTCAAGGCCAGCCTGGTCTACATAGTGAGTTCCAGGACAGCTGGGGCTACAGGGAAACCCTGTCTCAAAAAGACCAAAAAAATTTTTTTAATTTATTATTTTCATGTGTATATGTATATTGCTTGCAGGTAGATAAGTGCACCTGTGTCATGCAATGCTTGCAGAGGACAGAAGAGGCTGTCAGATCCCCTGGAACTGGACTTGTGGACAGTTCTTAGCTGCCATGTGGGTACCAGTATTTGAACCCCAGTCTTCTGCAAGACCAGTGTTCTCAGTGTTCTTAACCACTGAGCCACCTCTCTAGCCCCTTAATCATTTCTTTCTTTTCTTTTTTTTTTTTTTTTTTTTGGTCTTTTTGAGACAGGGTCTCCCTGTAGCCCCAGCTGGCCTGGAACTCGCTATGTAGACCAGGCAAGTCTCGAATTCACAGAGATCCACCTGCCTCTGCCTACCAAGTGCTGGGATTAAAGGCCTGAGCCACCACTTTTAAAATGAAAATGTAAATATAATCCCAGTACTTAGGATGTGGAGGTGTAGGGTCAGGAGTTCATGGCGAGCCAGGACTACATGATAGCTTGTCTCAAAAACAAAACAAAACAGAGCCGGGTGTGGTGGTGGTACACTCCTTTAGTCCCAGAACTTGCGACATAGAGGTAGGCGGATTTCTGTGAGTTTGAGGACAGCCAGTTGAAGCTAGCCTGGTCTACATAGCAAGTTCCAGGACAGCTGGAGCTACAGAGAGACCCTGTCTCAAAAAATACACATACACAAAAACAAACAAACAAACAAAAATACAGCCCTCCCCCCCCACAAAAGCATCATTAAGCCAAGTGCAGTGGCTCATATCTGTAATCCCAGTACTTGAGAGGCTGAAGTTGGCAAATTACCTCGTGTTCAAGGCCAACCTGGGCTACAGAGTGAGCTCCAGGTCAGCCTGGACTACAAAGCAAGACCCTGCCTCAAAAAGAAAATAGAGACCAGGTGTGATGGCACACCCCTTTAGTCCCAACACTCCAGAGGCAGAGGCAGAGGTAGGCAGACCTCTGTGAGGTCCAGTCCAGGCTGGTTTACAGGGAGTTCCAGGCCAGTTGGGGCTACTGAGAAGACCCTGTCTCAAACAAAATAAAACAAAAACCCCCACAAACAAACAAAAACAAAACACAACAAAAAAGAGCCTGGGGGTGGTGACACATTCTTTTAATCACAGCACTCAGGAGGCAGAGACAGGTGGATCTCTGTGAGTTCCAGGCCAGCTAGGGCTACATAGTGAGACCCTGTCTCAAAAAACAAACAAGGACAAAAAGAAAGGCAATGGTAAACTGGAGTCAGCCTAGTAACTTAGTAGCTTAGTAACTGCAAGTTTTGGTTTCTTCTTTCCTTTTTGTTTTTGTGACAGGGCTCCCTGTAGCCCCAGCTGGCCTAGAACTCACTGTATAGACCAGGCTGGCTTCCATCTCATAGAGATCCACCTGCCTCTGTCTCCCTTGTGCTAGGATTAAAGGCATGTGCAACAACACCCAGTTGTTTCTATGATTTAAAAAAATGTGCTAAAATATGTACATCGAAAAAGTTACCATCTTAGCCACTTGAAGTGGCTTAAGAAATAGACAAGTGTTGTGCAATCATTGCCACTCTTCATTTCTAGAACTTTTGCATCATCCCTAGCAGACGCTGCACCCAGTAACTAAGAGCTCTCTGTCCTCCCCTAGGCCCTGGTAACCTCTATTCTACTTTCTGTTCCTCTTCTTGTCCACCCTAGATGCCTCACAGAAATGGAATTATACAGCTACTTGGCCATTTGTGACTGGCTTTTCCCACTGAACATACTGTTTTCAAGGTTCACCCATTCCGTAGAATATGCCAGGATTTCATTCTTTTTTAAGACTGGTTAGCCAGGTTTAAAGTCTCAGTTCTCTAATTTGAGAAATTACTTCTCAGTTGTCCCCTTAATACATACATATATAAAGTCAGGCCTGGTGGCACAGGCTTGTCATCTCAGCTACTCAGGAGTTTGAGACAGAGGATCTCAAGTTAAAGACCTGCGTAGGCTACAGAACAAGTTCAAAGCCACCCTGGGCAACTAAGTAAAATGCTGTCTCAAAATAAAAAGTAAAAAGAGGTCCAGTGCCTGCCATAGTGGCACATACCTTTGATCCCAGCACTTGGTTGGGCAGAAGCAGGCAGATCTCTGTGAGTCAGAGGCCAGCCTGGTCTACATAGAGAGTTCTAGGCCAACCAGTGAGACCCTTTCTCAACCTCTCCCCCAGTTTTTTTTTTAAGTAAAAAGAAAGCTAAGGATATAGTTCAATGGTAGAGCATTTGCCTAAGGCTCTGTGTTCAGTGTTCCCCAGTACCATAAAAAGAGAACACACACATACACACACACACACACACACACACACACTCTGCAGTGCTGAGAGTTGACTGCAGGACTTCATACATGCTAGACAAGCACAATGCCATTGACTATACAACTATATCATATTTATGCATATATATATACAGAGAGAGAGTCATATATATAGTCTTTCTATCTTTGTGTGTGCGTTATGTGAGTGTGGGCAGGCACATGCAACAGCATGCATGTGGAGGTGAGAGGAAAGCCTAACAAGCTGGTCCTTGCCTTCCACCTTGTGTGAGGTGGAGTCCCTTTGCTGTTCACTGCTGCACATGCCAGGCTCCCTTGCCCATCAGCTTCTGGGATCCTCCTGTCTCTGCCTCTCATCTCACCATAGGTGTGCTGGGATTACAGATGTGCACTACTGCATCTGGCTTTATGTGGGTTCTGGGGATTAGAATTCAGGTCCTCACATTTGCACGACTTTTTCCTCAGTCTTTAAAATACATTTTATATGATGGAATCATGGCCAAGCCTGAGGACTTGAGTTCAATCCCTGCAACCCACATGGTAGAAAGAATCAACTCTCAGGAGTTGTCCTCTGACCTTCACAGACATGTGGTGCACACATGTGCACGCACACATGCACACACACACAAAAATTTTAAAGTGTTCAAAAAAATTAAAACATGGGGACTAGAGGAATAGCTCAGCAATAAAAAGCACTTACTTTTGCCAAGGACCCAGGTTTGTTTCTAAGCACCCACATGGCTGCTCACAACTCTCTCTGTAACTCAAGTTCCAGGGAATCTGACACCTTCTTCTGGCCCTGAGGATACCAGGCACATATGTGGTGCACATACATACACACATGCAGGCAAAATACATAAAATAAAAATAAATAAATCTTTTGCCGGGTGTGGTGGCACATGCCTTTAATCCCAGCACTTGGGAGGCAGAGGCAGGTGGATCTCTGAGTTCAAAGCCAGCCTGGTCTACATAGTGAGTTCCAGGACAGCTGGGGCTACAGGGAGACCCTGTCTCAAAAAGACAAAAAAAAAAAAAAAAAAAACACACACACACACACACAAAAAAAACCCACAAAACGGGCTGGAGAGATGGCTCATTGGTAAAGAACTGGCTGTTCTTGCAGAAGATCCAGGTTCAAATCCCAGCACCCACATGGCAGCTACCAACTGTCTGTAACTCCAGTTCCAGGGGATCGACAGCCTCTTCTGTCCTCTGAGGGCACTGCAAGACACAGATGCACTTACCTACATGCAGGCAATACACACATACACATAAAATAAAAATAATAAATAATTTAAAACAAAACAAAACAAGAACAACAAAAAAAGGAAAGCTAACTTGAAGCTAGTTGCTTCAGCCCGGCATGGGACTATGAGGGATGAAGACATTTAGAGGGATGGGGAGAGGGTATTCTCCATGTGTCTGACCCAAGTGCCTTGTCTCAGGGAAATGCTCCGCTGGGCCCTCTTCAGCATGCAGGCCACAGGTCACATGCTGCTTGGCACCTCGAGCTACATGCAGCAGTTCCTGGATGCCACTGAGGAAGAACAGTCCCCCAAGGCCAAGACCTCCTCCGTCCTCCCTGCCTGTCTGAAGATCCTGCAGTGAAGACTGAAGTCCTTGGGGGCCTTCCCCAGCCAAGGACTGGACTGGGGACCCTGTGCTCAGCTTCTAACACCCACGAGCCTGGCAGCTGGAGAGCTTCTCACCTGCCTACATCTCCCTCACAGCACAGAACCGTGAAGGAAGAAGCAACAGGAAGGGATGGTCAAAGAACTTCCAGTTCCTGGCCTGGCTCAGTGCTTTCCTTCCTGTCTCAGGTAGTTTAGGAGCTCTACACTGGTCCCTGGCAGGCTATGGCACAAAGTCTGCCCCTCTGTAATCTGTCTTCACATGCTGCCCTAATTGCCACTTGCTCCCTTCCCTGGTGTAATGCGCGACTTCCTCAGGCCTGGAGTGACCATGGCCACTGTGCAGCAGTTATTGCTGAGGTGACCTCCAGAATACCTTGGCCCCAGACATGGCAACAAAATAAAACAACACAGTGACAGCTAGGTCTGCGGTAATGGTACCAGGGTGGTTAACACTCTGTAGTAATAGGAAAAGAGGAGGTAGGGCAGGAGTCCTCACCTAGCCACCACTCCCTGCTATCTGCCAGCTTCATAGGAAGTTGGGGCATGCTAGAGTGAATTGGAGGTGTGGCTTTTGGGCGGTCCCCACCCATGCTGGGGTGGGAGTTTTTGGTAATGCAGATGTTTTTAAGTCACCCATGCTCCTCCTGTAAGTCACCGCTTACACATGTTCCTGTCAGTAACCTAGTGAGCTCACTGGTTCACCAAGCTGGACTTGGGTGGAATGGTTTCTTTGGTTTCATTGGTGCCCTACCTAGGGTGACTGGATATTTGTTTACCTTCTCCAGGAAAAGTTCTGGAATCCCGCCTCTTGCCTTTATTCCCAGGAGGTTCCTGGGTGATTTGTCAAGCTCAGTAAAGTATCATAGAGAGTCTGCAATAAAGTATTTATGCTGATCCATCATTGTTGCCTATAGTCTTTGGGGATAGGCTAGGGTCCTCTTTGGTAAGGGCTAACAGAAGAATCTAATGTCAAAAACTATTGTCTATGATGTAGTGGCACAGGAGACAGCACTTACTATTACAGTGGGTGTGTTTGTGTGTATTATGTGCGTGTGAGTACCATGGCATGGGCATGAGGGGGTCAGCTTTCAGCAGCTGGTTCTTCCTTTCACTGTCAGATCCAGGGACTGAGCTCAGTTTAGCAGGCTTGCACAGTAAGCCCTTTTACCTGCTCAATCATCTTGCTGGCCCTTTGTTTTATCTTGTTTAGTTGGTTTTGGGTTTTTGAGACAGGATCTCCCTGTAGCCCTAGCCAGCCTGAAACTCTGTAGGCCAAGTTGGTCTCGATCTCACAGAGATTCACCTGCTTCTGCCTCTTGAGTGCTGGGACCATAGGTGTACACCACTATGCCTGGCTTGTTTGCTTCTTTGAGACAGTGCCTCATGTAACCCAGACTGGCTTCAAATTTGCTATGCAGAGGAGGATGACTGAACTTTTGATCATCTTGCCTATACCTCCTGAGTGCTGGAATTATAGATGTGTGTCAACTTATGTGACACTGGGCATCAAATCTGGCCTTCAAGCATGTTATGAAAATACTAAGCTACATCATCGGCCTCTTTTTTTGTCTTTGTTTTTCTCCTGTAGGCCAGGATGACCTCAAACTCATGCCAGTCCTCCTGCCTCAGCCTCCCAGTGCTGAGCTTCCAGTTGTCAGTCACATACCCTTATAAGAAACAGCATTTTCTTCCTACTTAAAAAAAAAAAAATCTGGCCAGGCGTGGTGGCACACGCCTTTAATCCCAGTACTTGGGAGGCAGAGGCAGGCTTATCTCTGTTAGTTCAAGGCCAGCCTGGTCTACATAGTGAGTTCCAAGATAGCTGGGGCTACAGGGAGACCCTATCTCAAAAAGACTAAAAATAAAAAATATCTGTAGCCGGGTGTGGTGGTGCATGCCTCTAAACCAGCATTTGGGAGGCAGAGGCAGGTGGATCTCTGTGAGTTCGAGGCCAGCCTGTTCTACATAGCAAGTCCCAGGCGAGCTGGGGCTACAGGGAGACCCTGTCTCAAAAAGACCAAAAAAAAGAAAAAAAAAATTGGGGGGCCTCAGTGGGTAAGGGTACTTGCTATCAAGCCTGATAACCTGAGTTCAATCCCTGGGGCCAAATGATAGGAAGAGAGAGTCAACCCCCACAAATTGTCTTCTGATCTACACACACACACACACACACCACAAATGTTTTTAAAAATCAGTCATTAGTTTGGGAAGTATGCTGCACTTCAGACTTGAGAAGACCATGTAATCAGTGTGTCAATTTCCATATGTAATTTGCCTGTCTTCTAATTTCCTCAGCATCACATTTTACAGTAATAATCCTTCAAGTGTTCAGATGGAAAAGTACTAGTCCTGCTACAAGGCAAGTCTCCATCAATGCCTATCCTAGCTTGCACACAGCTCCCCGTCCATGCTCAGGACTTCCACACTCAGGATTGCAAGGTGAGCCACTGGAAGCAGGAGAATGCTTGCCTAGCACAGTGAGACCCTGAGCTTGATCCCCAGCACTGCAAAAACAAACAGACAGAGCAAGCAAGCTCTAGACAGGACTGGGGTCTCCTCAGGGTAAGCCACTATTTTTTAGTAACAGACAACTCATGTGAGACAAGGAAGAAAGGCTGGGCTTGTAGATGGCCATAATTTAGTCTGATTCTCAGATTCAAAACTTACATTGTGGGGCTGGAGACATGGCTCAGCAGTTAAGAGCACTGGCTGTTCCTGCAGAGGACCTGGGTTCAATACCCAGCATCCATATGGTAGCTAACAACCATCCTAACTCCAGTTCCAGAGGATCTGATAACCCTATTCTGGTCTCTGTGGTTTTGATTTCCAGCACCCACGGGACAGCTAACAACCATCTACAACTCCAGTTTCAGGTGATCCAAAGCCCTCTTCTGACCTCCAGGGGCATTGCATGGCATGGGTGTACTTACATATATGCAGGCAATACACCCACACATATGAAATAAAAATAATAAAATATTTTAAAAATAAATCTTAAAGCAGGCAAGGTGACTAGAATATGCATATATGTCTAATATATATGCATATATTCATTAACTAATCCTATATTTCTTTTTGTTTTGAGACTGCGTCTCACGTAGCCCAGGCGGGCCTTGACCTTGGGTAGTAGCGGATGACTTTGAACTCCTGATCCTCCTACCTTCACCTCCCAAGTGTTGGGATTACAGGCATGTACCACTAGGGCTGGATTACGTGGAACTGGGGATGGAACTCAGGACTTTGTGCATGCCAGGCAAGCACTGTACCAAGTAAGCTACAATCCCTGGGCCCCCTCCTGCATTTCTGAGAGGACTCAAGCAAGGGATGGTTGCTTCTGCCAGTGGAATCAGTGGGGGAGCAATAATCCTTCTCCTTTCCCCCTCTTAGAGGTATAGCCTCCTCCACCCATACACCACTTGGCAACAGCTGTGTTGCCTGCTTTGCTGTGATTTCACTGGGTCTCTCCAGAGTTCAGCTGTGGGAAATGAAATCTTCAAATTCATATTAGTGGGATTAGGAGGTGGGGCCTTTGGAAAGTAAGTAGTATTAGTTGAAATTATTAAGATGGGGCCTCCATAAGGACAGCTGCTCTCTAAGAGGATTAGAGGAAAGAATTGTTTTTTAAATTCTATGTGTATGTGTGTATTGTCTGCATGTAGGTAAGTGCACCCGTGTCATGCAGTGCCCGTGGAGGACAGAAGAGGCTGTCGGATCCCCTGGCACTGGAGTTATGGACAGTTGTAAGCTGCCATGTCAGTGCTGGGATTCGAACCCGGGTCTTCTGCAAGAACAACCAGTGTTCTTAACCACTGAGCCGTCTCTTTAGCCCTGGAAAGAATATGTTAAGCAGGTGTTGGCACCACATTCTTGGATTCTACAAACTCTAGAACCATCGAGCCAGATAAACTCATTATACATACACCTCTGAGCTGCACCCACTTTCAGGTGTTTTGTTACAGCAACAGAAACAGACTAATAAGAAAAGTATGAAAGTTAATCTTGATTGTCAGCTTGACTGGGGGGAGCAGTGCCTAGGCTATTAGTACAGCTCACCTCTGGGGTGTCTGTGAAGGGGTTTTCAGTGATGAGAACTCTGACCTTATGAATAGGTTAGTGACACTGATAGATTCAAAGTTTGGATGCACTGCTGGGAGGTGGTAGAACTGTGGAAGATGCGGCCTGGTCAGGGGGAGCAGGTCTAAGTCATGCCCTTAGAGGGTATGCCTTACCTTGGCTCCTTCCTGTTTTGGCTCTTATCTGCTTCCTGTCTACAGTGATGTGAGCTGCTCTGCCACACCCTCCCACCAGGATGGACTGATTCCTCTGAAAATGAGAAAAATCTTTCCTTCTTTTAAGTTGTTTTGTCAGGTATTTTATCACAGTGAACAGAAAAGTAACTAATGCAGAAGGGAAGATGAGTAAATAGCTTTACTCTCTCTTTGGAACTGTTCAATTTTTTAAAATGATTTATCATTATTATTGTGTATAGATGTATGATTATGGGGTATAAGTGCAGGCACACATATGTGTGGAAGTCAGAATAATTTCCAGGAGCTGGTTCTCTTTGCCATGGCCTCTGGGGGATCAAATTCAGATCATTAGGCTTGCATGGCAGCTACTTTTACCTGCTGAGCCACCTCACTAGCCTCTGTGTAAATTTTTTACTTCATTAATATATTTATTCATATGCATGTACACATGTACATACACACAGACACAGACACACACACACACAGACACATGCCTTTAATCCCAGCACTCGGGAGGCAGAGGCAGGCAGATCCTCTGTGAGTTAGAGGCCAGCCTATTTCTACAGAGTGAGTTCCAGGCAGCTGGAGCTACAGGGAGACCCTGTCTCAAAAAGACCAAAAAAAAATTTGAATTCAAACTTGGTGTGGTAGCATAGACTTTTAATCCAAGCACTGGGGAAGCAAAGACAGGTGAGTTCCAGGCCAGCCAGGGCTGCATAGTGAG